AAGATAATGCCATTCTGAGAGCCTCACTTCTTTTCTAACATGGAAAATTTTCTAAGGTCGAAGGAATGTAGTTCGTCGTCCTGTAGCCTATGAAAAAGAAGCCAGCTTCTGCTACATCTACCTTTTAGACAGAGCATTGATTTGGCAGGAGTGGATGTGGACACACAGCCACAAGGCAGAGGGGAGGAAGCGGGAAGGCCCTGTTTAAACTGCTTGTAGCAGTCTCTTTAGGAAAGAAAATGTTTAGCTTTAGTTTATTAAGAGCATTATTTTATAAAGCGCAAGCTTTGTCATTAGAATATAAACCTAAATCACCTTGTGGATGAACATAAAAGTGTATGTGACATAGAGATGAAAATTAATTGCCATCCTCACAACGTTGACAGAATATTTGTAATTAGGGATATCTGATTATAAGTGATAGTATCACTTGCCGATTAATTCTGATGGCTCTTACGTGAAAAACTCAGGGTGTGCAAGGATTCTGTATAAAAGGAGAAAAGTAAGGGCTTTTGTTAGTGTTAGTAGAATCTCATTTTGCTGAGTAAAATCATTACATTTGTAATAGGATTGCTTCTACATTTTGACTCAGCATGTAACCACTTTGCTTAGCTAATAATAAAAGTACTTTGCAGAGATGTGTCATTAGCATTTCCTATAGGCCTGTTTTTCTCCTCCTGCCCTCTATCTTTGAATACATTATTCTGCAAACTATGATTCTGACCTGTACTCTTTATGCAGTCTCTTACTAACCTAGTGGGAGCAGAAAAGCATGTCTGACTCTAGTAGGCACAAGTGTCAGGCGTGTGTTAGCCCTTGGCTTTAATTTTCAAAACCATATCTCTTATTTTGTAGTCTTGTCTGTAGTTAGTTGTTCTTTGAAGTAAAAATGGCCCCATAAAAGACAGTGTGCTTGGGGGCTGGGGATTTAGCTCAGCGGCATAAGCGCCTGCCTTGCAAGCAGGTGGTCGTGAGTTCGATCCCTGGTACCAATAAAAAAAAAAAGACAGTGTGCTCCATCTTGCATAACACTCACCAGAGAGCTTTTCCTGCAGGTCCCCAGCATGGATACCTCAGAGCATGGCAGAGGTGTATATGTGTACTTCCCATGTACCACTCAGAATGCTAAAAGGTGTGTATTCAAGGGGAAGACTAATAGAAATGGTTTTGACTGCTTCCCAGAGGACATTCTAGCTGAATGTTAAGTAACACTTGTGCTTCTTCTGGAACAGTTGAATGCATAGTGCCAGTACATACATCGGGAGCCATGGCCTTGATTCACACCAAGGTAAAAATAGTGTCACTTACTACTTGCTTTTGCATCATGAGTGCAAAAGGCAACACAGTGAAGAAAAGCAACATCTCAGTGTTACAAAAAAAATTTTTTTTTGGTACTGGGGATCCAACTCACAACTACACACTTTGCAAAGCAAGTGCTTATGCCATTGAGCTAAATCCCAGCCCCTGAAAAAAAATTGACTTTAGTAGACCTTTTTGGGGTAGGGGTAGGGCTCATGGGTCACACTTGGAGAACCATTCACTTAGGCTTTCAAGAACATCCTGGTAAACAAGACAAGGTCCCTCTCCCTGTAGGCCTAAATGAGAGAAGACAGACAGTAAGTAAAGACATAAGATGACATCAGACGTGATAGATTCCATGAAGGAAGTCACCATGGAATGTAACAGGGTGGGAGAGGAGACCTCAAGGGGGAAAGGGTTGCACCATGCATAAAACTAAGAAGAGCTTTTTGGAAAGATGACGTAGCAATGAAAAAAGACTCGGAGACAGGAAAGATCTTGACATTTGGAAGAGACAAGAGAGGGGGAGACAGGCCAGATAACAGGGAGTATTTTTTATGATCCTTAACTCCTTAAGGGGCAGTTCATGTTACTACCATGTAAAATGATAACTGTGTAAGTACTGATGGTTTAATCCTTGCAACGACCTTCCGGTTCTCTCCTCTTCATAGTGGAGGACAGGGCCAGAACTGGAATACTACGGTAGTTTGGCCGTAGAACCTACACTGTAAAATCTCTTTGGAAGAAAGTCACTCAAGATACGTTTGTGCATATGAAAGTGCAGGAGAGTGGGAAGGACCTTACTTATGCCTCTTTGCTGTGGGTCTGGAGAACTGTAAGCTATCAAAGCTGCTCTTAAACTTGCCTTTTTGGATTCTATCATGTAAGAGAAGAACAGTCACCGTACGCTCAGTGGAAAAGCATTTCTCTGAGAAATTCCCCTGAAAAGTTTCCTAGCTCAGGGCTGGGGATTTAGCTCAGCAGCATAAGCGCCTGCCTTGCAAGTGTGCAGTCATGAGTTTGATCCCTGGCACTGATTAAAAAAAAACAAGTTTCATAACTTGCTCCATCATGGATGTATTGATTATTTTTGAAGCATTTGTTTAATTCTAAATGAGTTAAAAGCACAGGAATGAATTGTAGAAAAGAATACCCCACTACGATAAGTTCTTCTGTATACCTATACATTCATTCCTATGTATACTTATACACCCATTGATTGATTTTTCTAATTTCTGTGTTGGTCCGAAAGGCAGTGACAAAGTTATAAAACTCCATTGCCAGCAAGAAGGAAGGTGGATTGAATTCTTTAGCAGCAAGCCTCCCCTGAGACCATGGGTTCAGATATCTGTCGGCATTGTAGGAAAGAGTAACCTTCTCCAAACAAAAGCATCGAGTCCATCACGTCACAGTCTTGATACTTGTGCTCATCCAGCTGCCCCCCACCTGCCTCTCTCCCTGCCCTCCTTCCGCTGCACTGGAGAGGAAACTTGGTTCCTCGGATACGAACTGGGCGAGCGCTGTGCCACCGAGCCACACTCCCCAGCCCTGGCACCTTCCCTTCAATCTTATCTTGATCAAGTCTTCTCTGCTTTGCTCTTCAGCCCATTCCCACCTGTACCTGGTGAAGCACGGGGCCTACTTCAGATGGCCTTTGTCACTGAGGTCAGATTTAGTCCTTAAATTACGGTTGTTCTGATATCTAGACTACAACAGAATGGTAACACAGGTTGCTTTCCAAGAGACAGACCCAGCCAGGGCCTCGCCACCTGCATCTCAGATGAAGGATACACTGCAGCATCTGCATGCCAGAGAGCCTTGCGCTGCGTTTCTAGAGAGTACTGGTTAAATCAAGCCATGGACATGTGCCCTTTCCCTGCTGACAGTAAAGATGCCGGATCTGCTGGGCCAATACTCTTGGTTTCTCTTAACTTTTTTAGTACTTTCTATCAGCTGCATAAGAGCATGATCTGGTCAATTTCTGTTCATTCCCCACCCCACCCTCCACCCCGACACTGCCACAGTGTCTGGTACAGAGTACATGTTCAGTGATAATTTGTTGAATGACTAAATGATTGAAGAAGGCTTTTCACTGGACACATAGAAGAACAGTGAAAGGCCACTCATTCATTCTGGTCTTTTATTCACTTTCTATAAATACTGACCACTAATTATGTAAGACACTCAATCAAATGTTAATATCACAAAACCCCCGGATAAAACAATCTAAGTAAGGGGACTTTAACAAATAAAAAAATAGTGCTTTAGCTGGGCGTGGTGGCTCACGCCTGTAATCCCAGCACTCAGGAGGCTGAGGTGGGAGGATCGATGCAAGTTCAAGACCCGCCTGGGCTACAAAGTGAGCTCAAGGCCAGCCTGAACTGCACAGCGAGACCCTGTCTCAAACAAGACAAAAAAAAAAAAAAAATAGTGCTTTATTCAGTCAGCTTCGTGGTTAAGTGTCCCTTTGCAATAGTACACTGTACATTACCCAGAAAAGTAGAAAGTGAAGGAAGGCAGTTTCTCACGTTAGATTTCTTAGTTGACTGTCCAAAGAGCATGGTCAACACTAAAATGTTATGCAGTGACACATATACAAATAAGAACATGTTAACGCATCAACAACTCTGCCAAAACGCTGCCGCTTCCTGAGTAATTGAGTGAGAGGTAGTCTCGTGTTCCTATTGGAGTCTCCATTAGCCTTGCTGGCCTCTTTTAAGGACCGTTATATTTTTTTCTAAATGCCTCATTCAGGTTTGCAATGACATGCTTGTTTGTTCCTTGTACCTCTCTCCTTCCCTCTACTGCAAGCTCAAAACAGGCAAGTTCTGTGTATGCTCTGACCCGGTTATATTTCAAATACCTTGAACTCTGCCAAAAAATACTTGTTAAATGTACGAATTAATGGTTACAGCCAAATTCTTACTAAAATATTTCAATGTTTGGCCACAAAAGTTGTAGTGGTAATGCAAGCAAAGTGCTCAGTGTCAGGTACGGTGGCACACAGCTGTAACTCCAGCTATTTGGGAGGCTGAGGCAGGAGGAGGATCACAAGTTCTGAGGCTGTGTGGGGAATTTAGTGAGACTGTTTGGTTAGCTTTTTTTTTTTCTGGGGCTGAGGACTGAACCCAGCTTCCTGCTTCTTAGGCAAGCGTTCTGCCACTGAGCAAAAAACACAGCCCTGACGCTATTTGTTGAAATAAATAAGTGCTTGCCTTAGGGTTAGGGTTATGAACTGAGTCCGATAGCTAGTACTCTGCATTAAAAAAAGTGGAGAGTGTACCCCTGGCGTGATTGGTCCCACAGGGCCTGTCATTCCTCCCTGAACTAGGGTGTCTGCTTTCATTTTTACTGGGAGAAATTCCAGTCCAGATTAGTTTCTGTTTCTTAGCCTTACTGATTTATAACTGTAGTAAAGACCTGAGGTTACTTTTAAAAATAAATTATAATTACTTTCTTTTTAAAAATCGGTTCCAGGGATCAAACTTGCAAGGCAGGCGTTTATGCTGCTGAGCTAAATCCCCAGCCCCTAGAATTACTTTCTTAAATTAATTTTTGTTCATATTTTCATATCGTGTGTCTGAGTTTATACTTTTAACTAACCGAAAAGTGATGAGGATGCTTTTAAGTAAGGTGATGGGAGATGAGAAACCTGCAACTCTAAGGAAATTTTTTTCTTCTTTTGGTTTTTTTCCCTTCTTTCATGTGGGACAGTTCAGTTTGAGCCTGCAGGGAGCAAGCCGGCCCCAGATGTCTCCAAATCCTCATTTCTCTGCCTCCAGTTCTTCCTGTCCAAAGAGGGGGAGCGAAGGACACGGCTTTGTAGGAGGGTTCTATGGAAATTCCACCCCGCCCCCCATGGAAATTTTTTAAAGCTTCCAAACCAGAAAACGAAACCAGCTTGTTTCGTTTTCTAGTCTTTAGGTGGAGCCACTGCTTTCTAAACCTAACCCCTTTGTGGAGAATCGTTCACTGTCATTTACAACCAAAGACTCTTACAAATGTGGTTAAAAGGTAAATTCTTCAGGCCAATTAGATTAGTCAATCAATGAGTCTAGTACTTACCACTTATCTAGGTACTGGGTGGGTTACCAGCCAGGTTTCCTGCAACCAAAGCTCAGTTCCTGGGGTGACATTTGGTCTCTTGGGCTCTATGTAGGGGCCAGTCCAAATCCATGGCCTCTGCCAACTGTTATTTACCATTACATTTTATCACAGTGAATTCCCTTAAATAGGAAAGACCCAGAGAAAGAAAATCATATGCAGTCAACCCCTCCACATTTTCGCATTCAGACAAGCTGCACATTAGGATTTGAGTTCATGTCCAGAGTTTCCTGAGAGGGTAGCAGTGTTTATCACCACAGTGACCAGTCAGAAATGCGAGGTGGGAACTGCATGAAAGGAAGGGATGACTAACCTCTGACGGTCAGCACAATGCCACCCTGGCGCCCGCGCGAACTGCCACACATGGGTTTTCCCTTTAAAACAAAAAACACTCTGTGCTGATTTCTCATTTGGGCCCCAGTAACTGCTCCTCCGCCCCAGGCGGTGCTTGCTCCCTCATTCCCTTCTCTAATGATGACAAAGCTGCTCTTGCTAAGGAAACACGGACAGTGGACAGCGGACAGGCACCGCAGAGCCTGCAGGGCAGACCCCGGCCTGCTTGCTGCCCACAGTTACACGTTTCTTGTTTCTTCCTCTTTTCATTTCCTATCATATTTATTTCATTTGTTTTAGTAGGAACCCTGGACCTTCCTTCTCACTGAGTAACAGCCACAGCCCTTCCCACCCCCCATAACTCTTATGGCTTGTTGAAACAGGGTCTCACTGTGCAGTTCAGGGTGGCCTTGAACTCACTGTGTACCCTGGATTGGCCTCAGACTCACAGCAATCTTCCTGCTTCAGCCTCCTGAGTGCTGGGATGATAGGTGTGCACAACCACATGAGCCTCCCAACCCTTTAAAAATTTTTTTAAACTTTGAGGCAGGGTCAGAGTTTGAATTTGAGGTCGTTCTGCCTCAGCCTCCCAGAGTGCTGGGATTCTACGCACATGCCAGCACACCCGGCTTACATTTTTTAAAAAACTTTTCCACCACCTTCTTCCCTTCTGTCACACACTTGCATTAAAGCCCACAAGTAAAGCATTAATGAACATTTGTGCTTCAACACAGAAGAACTACTACAAAACAACAAGGCCTGAGTGTTCACTGCAATATAATGAGAGAGGATTCCTGTCTCTTTTTGGCAGGGGTGGGTTGGCGGGGAGCAGCAGTGCTATGGATTGAATCCAGGGAAACTCCATTACTGAGGTACACCCCTCTCTCCCCTTAAAAATAGAGTCTCACCTTATTGCTCAAATTTGACTCCAAATTTCAATCCTCCTGCCTCAGCCTCCCATGTAGCTATGATACAGGAGTTAGAGTGTGGCAAAAGTGGCTAAAGAGGTGGGGGACCCATCCGTTGCAAGATCCCAGGGTGGTGCCCGATGATTCTCAGGACCCGCTATGTAGAACTTCCATAGGGCCCCCAGGCGATGTGGATAGCACAGAGGAGACCGGACACCCTGAGTAGACCACCATTGTGACTCCTCACCATAGCCCACTCTGTGTCCTTTGCTTTTCTCCTTATTTAAATTTAGCCCAAGTTTGCTCTACAGAAAATTCTCCCCCAACCTCTTCACCCCTCATTTTTCAAATAAACTTTTGGCACTGTTTTTGGCTTGTCTCATCCAATTTTTTGTCTGAGACAAGAAGAACCTGGAATACTTTTGATCAGGGAGCCATTCTGAAAGAAACTACCAGACAATGGCAGGAATTATAGGTATGCGCTGCTGTGCAGAACTTGAATGTCCTTTTCTCTAAAGGTAACATACAGGACTTTTCAACTGATTAAAATTGTTCTTCAATCAAAAGTTTAAACATAAGATTGGCAGACCTCCAAATCTATGTCTTTCCAAATTTAATGTAGTTAAGGATGTGTGTTAGGGTTGAGGGGAACCGCCTTACATTGACCATGAAACTATAAATGATACAGCTTTCCTGGAAAGCACTTTGGCAAAGTCACAAAAATGTTCAGCCCCTGGAGCTGGGGACATAGCTCAGTAGTAAAGTATTTGCCTAGCATGCCGTAAGGCCCTGGATCCACCTCCAACACCACTAAAAGAGAAAAAAATGGCCATTTGTGCCTTTAACCCAGACAGTCTGTTTGTAGGAGTTTATCCTAAGGAAGATATATATATGGACTTTTGCACACAAAAATTTAAGTTGCCATTACTAATAATAGCAACAATTTGGAAAGCATGAAATTCTCAAACAGATCTTGGTCTATCAATTTTTGTGTTTCCCAGGCCTCTGGGAAGAACTGGGATATTTATTTATTTATCTATTTATCTATTTTTGTCTCTTTGAGGTAGGGTCTTACTGTGCAGTTCAGGCTGAGCTCATTTTGTAGCCCAGGCTGGTCTCAAACTCCCAAATATCCTCCTGTCTCAGCCTCCAGAGTGCTGGGATGACAGACGTGTCATCACGGTCCAGCTAAAACGTGGGATTTTTTCACTTGTACCTAACCTCAGCCAGATAAATGGGGTCCTGGAAGGCTCTGGATTTCTCCAGTTAATAACTGTTAGTTTCAGTTTTACATGCAACCAAGTTCCCCCCTTTTCCTACATACTAATTAGAATTTCCAACTACTGTACTTTTCTTGACAACCTCTTCCACCTTTCACTGTAGTTAAATGCAAGAACTGTATGACCCTCAATACTCCAAAAATAAATACAATTTTAACTTAGCAAAACAACTGTGATTTGGCCACCTGTCCACTCAGCAAACCTACTAACTTCCATGTACCAGGTTCACTCATAATAGAGTGATACATACATTACAGACAGTGCTATAGTTTGGGTGAATTTAACCCAAACTATGGTGTTGAATACTTAGTCAACAGGCTTTGGTGCTCCTGGAGGATGGTGGAACCTTTTGGAGATGGGCCTAAGGGAAGTGATCAGGTTACTGGGGGTGTGCCTACCACATACTCCTGCCATGATGTGCTGCTGCGTTGCCATATCTGAAAGCAACAAGCCAATTGATGACAAAGCGTTCCTCTTTATAAGTTGATTTACCACAACTATTTTGTTAGAGTAACACAAAACTACTAAAATAGATGGCTTCCTCTATTTCTGGGAGATGTGCTAACAATTCAGTAAATTTGCTTGATAAAACAAATTTGTGCTAACAATTCAGTAACCATTTGCCTCCTCTCTTTAATATTCTGCGCTGCTCTAGATTGAGTACAAATCACTCAGTCAATATTAAAAAAAAGTTAAGCACATTGATGAAATATGCTATGAATTTGAGGAAACAGATACAGCTAGTGGGGGTATAAAATTAGTACAGATACTTTGAAGGACAGGGAGGTACACACTTCTAGTCCCACTACTCTGGGAGGCTGAGTCAGGAGGTCACAAGTTCCAGCCCTGCCTGGGTAATTTAGGGACTTAGTAAAACCCTGCCTCAAAGTAAAAATTTACAAAGGGCTGGGGAAGTAGCTCTGTGCAAAGATCCTGTGTTCAATTTCTAGTGCTGAAACAAACAAAACACCAGAAAACCACACTGTGACTCAGCAATTTCATGTATCAGTGTTTACTTCTTTAAAAGACATGTCCAAGCATGTCTGCTGCAGAGTTCCTTGGGGGAAAAAGTAGAAACACTGAGATTATCTATGAAGAGAAGAACAGCTAATAAAGCGTATCTCTCCATGACATGCCACTGGGAAAAAAAATCAAGTTACAAATGCATCATCGATACCTTTTTATGTGGAAAGAAAACAAATGACCAGTACACTTTTATGTTGTGATAGACTCAGTATTAAATATATTTGGTCTTTGTCCCTTATTCCTGTCACAGAGCTCCTAAAACCCTTGGGAATTCCTGAGTGGTGTGAGCATCTTGCTATTCGTAATGAGTTCCTTTTGGTCACACTTGAGTTTATGTTAGTGGAGGTGACTGTACACCCTACACCCAACACAGCCATACAGATAGCTCAGGACAGAGGCAGTCACCAGTAAGATAAAGTAGTTAGACAATGAGAAGTTTGGAATTTTCAGACCCACCAGCATCCCTCCAGGAAAGGAGAAGGATGTGGAGAATAAACTCTATAAAAGACTTGAATGGTGAGTTTCCTGCTGGGAGGGTGGTGCACCCAGAGAGGATGTGGAGGCTTCTCCTTGTGTCTAGCCTTCTTCATCTGCCTGTGCTCCTGTGTCCCTCACTATATCCCTTTAAGTGGTTTCTATGGGTGTCCTAGCAAACTATCAAACCCAGTGTGGAGGACATGGGAAATCCAGTTCACGGTCTGTCACTGAGAAGCATGGTCACCACCTGAGATGTGTGACTGACCTCTGAAGTCTTCTGGGACACCCCTTGACCTGTGGGATATTTCTCTGACTAAGTAGTCAAGTGTCAGCATTGAACAGGATTAGAGGAGGCCTAGTTGTGTTTGCTGGCGAACTGCTTCCTGTAGTGGAGAAAATTCTACATATCTGGCCACAGTTCTGTGAGTTTTTCTTTTCTTTTCTTTTCTTTTTTTCCTTTATACATATTTTCTAAGGGTCATCTGTAAACATGTAAATATAAGAAATAACTGATAGGGCATAAGTTGATAGGTTGCGTCTGGCATGATGAGGGGCAGGGATTTGGGTAGAGTTGAAAGGGGCATTTCTCCTCATAATGTCTCCCTTTTTTTTTTTTTTTAAACAAGTGACAATTTATGCATTCAATTTTATTTATTGTCATTTTTTTCTGGTAAATAACTGATACATATATGAAATATATTCC